TCTATGGCAATGCAGGGATGTGGCACAGATGCCTTTATTTACAATATTCATTTCAATGGGCCACTTTTCAGTTTGTGGCCTGCAGAGCCCCCTGGGTTCTTTAAAAGCCTGCCATGTCTTCTTCCAAATGATACAGTCAGGAATGACAAAACAAGCGTCATCCACTTCCAACTTTGCCTGCAGTGTGTGTGTGCGTGCGCGTTTGTGTGTGTGTGCATGGGGGGGGGCTTTCTAGGGCCCCGTCTCAGCTGGGGGGGGCAGGAGTGTCCAAAGCCCCCACAAATCTGTTATACCCACACACCACCATAGTATTCTTTTGGAATCCTCTGCAAGTCAAAAAGTCATCCAAAAAGTCAACATGGAAACAGATCTCCAAGGACTGAAAACGCAACGGCTGTGGTGGCCCACCGCTGCCTTGCCCAAGTTCATGGTTATGTGGCTTAATTCCCCGAGTTGCCCACCCTGAGCAGACATTCATCAGGCATCCAGCCTTTCCACTGCCCTAACAGCAAAGCCACCATGTTTGGGGTTGTTTTTTTTTTTAGGAAGCCGAGTTGCTTATGGGCAGCTCCGCTTCCTGATGGGGCTTTGCAGGAAAGGAGGAGGGTCTCTTGCTCTCGTCACCTGCCTGCCAAAACAAGCAAGACTGGCTGTCAAAGCAAGTCCCGTCCCTCCTCCAAAGCAGCCAATGGCTACGGATCTATGACCCCTCCTCCTCCTCCTCCCTGAACCCTTCCCCAGCACTGCCTCTGAGAGGCCCAAATATTTCCCTGCAGGCGCCACAGGCAAAAGCAGCACAGGCTGGCTCTGATACCGCAACTAGCCAAGAGACAGAGAGAGATTACAAGTGCAATTTTCAACTGCCTAAGAAGGAGGAGGAGAGAGATGGGGTAAAGAAGACAGGTTTGCATGGCTTCTACATTTGATCTTCTCCCCCCCCCCCAAGAACATGCAATCCTGAGCACCGATTTCCATGCATTTCAATGAACGGAGACAGCTGCGTCTACAAGAGATCATGCAATAATTCAGGCAAGTAAGGACTCCGCCAGAGGGGGGGGGAATTGCCGAAAGCACTGTGACAGCAGGCAAAAAGGAAAAAGGAAAAACCCTGCATCACTCCCGAGGAGGCAAGGCCAGAGTGCTGTCAGCCTACCTGAAGGGGCCGAGAGGATCATCCATGGCTCTGGTGGGTGCAGCTGTTTCCCCTGACCTTGCCACTCCAAAAAAAGGAAAGGAAAAAAGAACAGAAAAGTCTGCCTGGCTTTCCCTACTCTAACTCCTCAAAATGGAGGCCCATGCAGTCTCAGATAGACCTGAGTGAGCTTCCACTGAGCTTGTGCTATGACCTAAGCCTGCACGCAGAACGCAGAAACTTCGCCCTCAGACTGACAGCACTGAGCATGTGCTGTGACCCCCCCCTCCCTCGTCCACATGACGCAATCAATCTCAGACCCTGCCGTTTCCGTAAATAAAGCCCAGCCAACAGGCACGGCGGGCTGCCGTCGCCACAGCAGCTTCAGCTTCGCCCTAGCAAGCTAGTGTGCAGGGAAGAGGGGCCTCCGCGAGGGAATCTGAGACTAGCAACACGCAGGAGAAACCAGGCAGTTCCAATGCCAGCATTTTTTCCATTTGCCGTTTGCCTCTATGCTGCTGCGTCTATAAGTTGGAATGAACGCCGAGAGGGATGGGGGGGCTAACAGGGGGGCTTTGGGTCCAATTTCTACAGCAGCATTTTTTTTTAAAAAGAGACCGCCTAATAGAATTAAAACAAAAGGGTCATTTTAAAGTAAAACTGTGACATCCATGTGCAACCCCTTAGAGACAAAGCCACATTTGCAATATTCTACAGCACGAATAACAATACGCAGAACCCTCAGAAGAAGCTGACATTTAATTATGTGCATTTCTCCAAAGCATTTTTATGTGTGTGTGTGTGTGTACACACACACACACACACACACACAGAGTCCTCAGGCCATTATTTCTATGTTCAAGTCACTATCCCCATCAATTCTTTCAAAGGGCCTTGATTCAAATTTCTTGGTCACACTGAAATGTGATAGAATGTGGGCTGCAACAGCAAGTGACTGATGAAAATATTCTGCTTCGTTCAAAATTAGGGTCCTGATTAATGACACCACCCATACACAAACACCACAGGCCCTAATTCCAATCCTTGGAGCTCCATGCCTCAGCTGATCTCAAAAGTGATACCGATTTGCTCCCTTTCTAGGTAGGCAGCCTCTTCCAAGCCATCTCAGTTTTTGGATGGTGCAGCTGCTAGCTGCTAAAATATTTGCTCTGATCATAAGATGAGCCTGTTGACACCCCCACAGTCAAACTGAGTCTGGGCTACGTCAGGGCCAGGATAGGAGTGTGGGTGGTTGTGCCCAGATCCAGCCTAGAAGTGCAAATTCCAAAGGTGAGCTGTGCTAGTTTAAGCCGGAGCCAAAATCTGAGGAAGCAGAAGGCACAGTGGGAGGGAGGGAGAAAAGGGCCAGCCTCTTCCCATTTATTTGTTTGTTGATCGATCAATCAATCAATCAATTTGCTAGCTGGCTTTAAAAAGTACTGCATTTCCCCCAAGATGGCATGCAGCATCCAGTGAAATCAAGTTTTTAAAACACATGCAATATTAAAGTAATAAATACTGTAATAATTCAGTAGAAAACAATAAAATAATACCATCTGTTGCTCCAGGTGATATCCAATGTTAATCAGAGTAGACCCATAGGAAGGAATGGGCATGACTAAATTATGCACATTAATTTCAATGGGTCTACAAGTAGCGCCTCTCACAAAAAAAGAGGTCTCCTTGTTATGCATTTCTGCACCCCTGCTTGATACTGGAAGAAGAAGACTAGATTAGTACAACACACCTCGGTTGGTAGAGCATGAGACTCTTAATGGGCAGCTCGTTAATATCATCACAATGCAGATACCATCCTATCAGGAGATCCATCCTGCACGACACTGGAGTTGGGCCTTTTGTGTGGTGGCACCTATCCTTTCAAACTCCCTTCCATTGCATATCAGACAGAGAGGTCATCTCTATTATCTTTTCGGTGTCTGCTAAGGACAGTCCTCTTTCATCACACCTCCTAAATGCTTTAGCCCAGTTGGTTTTTGTACTGTTGCTATTGTTTTAAGATTTAAAATTGTGCTCTCTCTCTCGAGACACACACACACACACACACACACACACACATGCAGAAAGGAGAGTTGACTCTGTGACTCCTCCAACAGGAGACCAGCGCTCTTGCTTTATGAAAAGGAGCCATTTGCCATCTTCTGTTGCACAGATTTTTGTCTCATAAATGGCACAACCACCACCGAGTCTTCCAAAAGACACAAATCACCGAGAGTGAGAGGGTGAGTAATACAGCAGCCCTGATGTTCCCCCTCCCTTAACAAACTCTGCTCAGCAAGTTTTATGTTAAAGCAAAGATATATACAAGACTCAAACTTGCTTCCATTTTATGTTGTTGGGGTCTCTTGGGAGAGCAGCGAGCTCATCAATAACACCTCTACTCAGGCAAGGAGGGATTTGCAGATGTGTGTGTGTGTGTGTGTGTGTGTGTGTGTGCGGGCACTTTCCTTTTTAGCAAAAAATCTAGTCCATTATTATAGCACAGGCTTCCTGTCTGCACCCTGGCAGGAATTTTAGTACAACATAAAGAAGAAACAAGAATCTGGCTGCTTTGGGGAGAGGAGGAGACAGCTAGATTTGCAACATGCTGAGTTATCTCTCGTGAGGTTCTAGCAAAACACCAAAGAAAACCCACATACAAACTTAGCACTCACATGAGCATTCACATGAGACTCTACAACTACAGAAGCTCCAGCTTCAGAAGCTCTGCCTAAAGAGAAGCTTGAAGACAATCTCTTTCTGCATGCAAGCCAATGTATCAACCACAAGAATCAATCACTTGGAGTCAACTCAATAATTCAATGTGCAAGTTTCCACTTTACAAATGTGGAATGGAGGTCAAAGGAGAGCTGTGCACTAAAGGACACCCACTGAGGGGCTGATATAAAAGTTCACTCCGTATCATGACTGCCACCACAAGCCATCTGAACAGTTGAGCCTCCCAAGAATATACAGGAATAATTTTTTTTCCTTGCAGAATACACAGATTCAACTGGCTGGATTGTCAATGTGGCACCTTTAAAAAGATTGAAGGAACCAATACATAAACCACACAGTCCTGCTGACCCAATCCTAGCCATTATTGCAGCCAACCAGGTGGGACTTGGCAACACCAGCACTGTCGAAACAAACGCCTGAATCAATTCTGAGTTTACGTCGCAGGATCACAAACACACACATATCAATGCCTTGAAGACTGAGAAGGCTCTGTTAGAAATATTCAGAAATATACTATTGGGCAGCAATTATCAGATGCTCACCCAGTTAAGAAGCTCAAAAGACTGAACTGGAATCCAGACAACTCACTGCAGTTTTGGACCCATAGCTGGATCATCAATCAATGGAATGGGGTAGGGGAGAGAGACGCACAAGATCAATAATGGAACCTGAATGTGGGTGTGTGGCCACTGGTCAGTAAGAAAGCACATGGCTTGCATGCCAAAGGCATCTCCAAATTAAAGGGTCAAAGACAGCAGGATAGCAAAAAACCTGCTACCAGAGTAGTCAACACCAGGCAAGTACCTTATAAACCAAGGCCAAATGTTATTCCAGTATTAGTTAGAAGCCTCTGGTGAACAAATGTCTCTTTATAATGGGAAAAATAAACCCAGAGCATGTGCATGACCAGGCTAGGTACTGTATCAGTAAAGCACTACATTGTAAAAATATGCAGAATTATACCTACTAAGGTAAAAAGCAGAGCGCTCACCATGCCTCTGGGAGGGTAGCAAAGAACTAAACAGGAGAGCACAGCCTCTCCTGTATCCGCCACCTCAGTAAGAGACCTTGTATAGCCCTACAAAAAAGCATATGCTACGAATTCTTAGTAGATGGAAGGCAAACAACTCACCTTGTCTCTGGATTGTAGCCCAGAATGTAGAAAAAGGAATCCACCCGGGCTTTAAATTCTCTAGCAGCAAATATGTCAGAGAAATGGGAGATATTACACTTTCCCCTGCAAGACAGAAAGAGAAAAAGGGGCATTAGACCAGGTTCTCTACATGGATGACGGCTTATATAATTAAAGTAAAAACGAAGACTTCTTGTTGGTATTGATAAATGCAACTGGCCTGCTTTTCCCCCCTCTGGTGCAGTTACCACTGAACATGGTTAAAGAAATGCAAGAGCACATGTGTCTTCTGACATACTGAACAAGCTGAATATAATCCCATAGTAAGTGAAAACAATTGTGGGAAATCAGGACTGAACATACTTTCCTTCTTAAAATACTTTATCTTAGCAAGTATGATACTGGGGAGGTTTGTCTGCAGTTACTGTGACCATTTGCCTTGATTCTCAGAGATGCTTAAAATAAAAGAATATCATGATATATTTTATCTAGTCCTCATGTTAGGACTCTACAACAGGAGTGGGGAACATGTGGTCCTTCTCTAGATGTTGTTGGGACTACAATTCCCATCAATCCCAGTCATCATGGTCAATGGCCAGGGATGGATTTGTAGTCCAGCAAGAACTGGAGGGCCACAAATTCCCCTTTCCGGCCCTACAGCAACAGTTCTCAAACATGGGTCACTGTGAGCCTTCCAAATTCAAGAGGAACTATTCAAGCCTGTGCAACTGAAGATCAGTTCCTAATGATCCTTTATGTCCAAGGATGTGGGAAAGTATTTTAAAAAACAAACAAAGTAAGAGAAGAACTTGGAATCTGCACATTAAATGGGGAGACCCTAGGTACACCAAATACAAAACTCTAAAAATAAAAAAGACAAAATGTGGCTGAAGCCACTGAAACTCTATACAGGAACATCGGCAGGAACACCAATATCAGATACTGTCAAATCAATGAGCTTACTTCCAGCTATCAATGTCTACTAGTGATGATGACTATGTTCTGCCTCCACAGTCAGAGGCAGTGATGCTTCTGGATACAGCTGCTCAAAACCACAGGGAGAGCGGAGATCAGGGGCTGAGCTCAGGTCCTGCTTGAAGGTTTCTCAAAGACCTCTGGTTGGCCACTGTGAGAACGGGATGCTAGAGTAGATGGGCCACTGGCCTGATCCAGCAGGCTCATCTTTTGTTCTTATCAGGTTTGTTATTTATTCAGCCTCATGCCTGGGAAAGCAGTGTCCCCGAGGATTTAGAAGAAGGGAGAAGATTCTGCCCATTCTCCTTCCTTGCGCTTTTCGTTTAGGAGCCCCCTCCAAGAACACCACCAGTAAATCCCAGCTCACTTTCAGCTGTTGGCTTAAAAGCCCTTAAGTGCGCTCTGTCTTTCTCTCTCTCTCTCTCTCTCTCTCTCTCTCTCACACACACACACACACACACACACACCCGTACATTAGCCACATTTGCTCACATTAATCCCTTACTATTCATGCCTCTCATTTCTCTTGCCCCAGCTAAATTTAGATTTAGATGATAAGCTCCTCTCAGCAGGATATCAGGAAGATGAATGGGTGGGTAATGGTGTAACCTAAGCTACAGTCTTTTGTCCCATAGAACCAGCTGCCTCAACTGTTCTTCAACTGGGGTTTCTTCCATCAGCAACAGGCAAAAAAGACTGAGGAAGAGCATAGCCACCCACCTGCCAATCATCCGGCCTCATGGTGATGAACAGGGGTGCAGTCCTGTTCTCTGCAGTGTTTGGCAGGCCACGCCAGTTCCCCTAGCTCAGTCAAACCAAGCAAGATTGCCCACTGAAGTAACATCACCTGATTGACATGTAGGCATGATTTAGGAAAAATGGCCTTGTGAGCTGAAATGAAACCTCTGGCAGGCTAAGAGGCTCCCCTGCCCTGCACTGCCCTGCAGGGACCAGGGGGACAGAATAAGAGAGGCTGCAAAGGCAGACACATTCTTCTTGATAAAGCACCACACATACAGATAATGTATTATGACTCTTTTTTCTTGAAGACTGACCATGCAACTGTACTTATGGCAAATGAGTGCAGCCACACCAGAGTACTGCAGCTGCGTAACACCTATTCATTTCAATAGGGCTTTGCTCTGGAAGGCCACATTAAGTCTCCATTCATTTCAGTGGAGCCATGATGGCAAAAGCAACTTCCAGGTTCGGGAGTGGTGTGGCACTGAATGCCAGGTGCTGGGGAGCAACAGCAGAAGATGCCCTGCTTGAGGGCTTCCCAGGAGGCACCTCACTGACCATTGTGGGAAAGAAGATACTGGAATTCATGGACCTTTCATCAGATCCAACAGGACTTTTCTTATTTTTAAATGAGGCTCCCAAAATTTCTCAATAAAGAAAGGCAGGTGAAATCTCTACTTACAGCATTCATTCATTTAGAAAATGTTTCTGCTACCTTTCAGTTAAAATTCACAAGGCAGCATAAAAAACAAACAACAGTAAATACACAAACCCCAACAGAAATACCCATAAAACAAAAGCAGCAGCTATTAAAACAAAGCCATTAAATGCAGCAGAATGGATTAAAGCATCATCAAGGCAACTTATATTACAGTGGAACCTCGGGTTGCGCATGTAATCCGTGCGGGAGGCAAGTTCGCAACCCGCAGCGTTCGCAACCCGCAGCGCCGAGCCTGTGCACATGTGGGTCGCGATTCACGCTTCTGTGCATGTACAAGTGTCGAAACCCAGAAGCAACCCGTTCCGGTACTTCCAGGTTTGGCGCAGTGTGCAACCCAAAATTGCGTAACCTGAAGCGCCTGAAATGCCCGAGTAAATAAAAAGGCCTGGCACCAATATGGCAACCATGTTGGCACCAGGTGAGCCTGACTGAGGAGGGCACCACAAACCAAAATGCTCTTTCCCTAGTCACCATGTGGCTAAAACCAGATGATGTGGTTAGATGTCCCAGAGGAGGGTCACAGGTGTTGACTGAAGATCATCACCTTTGAAGAACGCTCAGCGCAAATAAATTAAAAAGATTTTCCTCCCACTGTTATCACCCTCCTGATAATCTTCCCTGTAACTTTGCAAGAATAAGAGCCAATGACAACACAAGAGGACTGCTGTGAAAGATCCTCAGGGAAAATTACACACATACAAACCCCTTCCTGAGCATATGAGCCGACAATTAAATTTTCAAGCCCGGCACCATCAATCCAGCTCAGCTCACATTAGCTTGCGCTCTCCTCTCAGCATGCCAATTTCAGACTAAAAAGTCAGCTTCCTTGAGATATAAAAAGCACTCTGGTATTCTGGAGAAGATTACAGCGAGTGAGAGGAATTTGCCAGGTTTATCTTAGAAAACAACAGCTCTGTAATAAGTCAAATCAAAAGGTCTGTTTCCCTCCCCTACAGCAGAGGTTACAGCTGACTTGACTTGAAGGAAGCAGCTTCAGCAAAGTGGCTTTGAACAGGGAAAATGTCTCCAGATGGCTTTACTTAAAACACCATCTGAGCATTATCAGCAGGGAGATCATTCAGTTCACGTTTTGACAATATCCATGTGCTCTTCCTGCATGCCTGAAAATGAGATGCATGATGCCAACAGCATTTTCATTTGAATTCACCACAAGCATTGACTTGTTCCCCAAAGATGAATGGTTAGGTCTTTACTCGTTAAACCAACAAAGGGGGGAAAGGAGGAGAGACCAGGGCAGGGATGAAGGGAAAGACAGACCACACAAGGCATGGGTCAGCAGCATCAGAGTGGCTGTCTGGCTATTGTTGAAAGCCCAAGGAACTTTCATCTTTATCTCTCTCTCTCTTGAAAAAAAGTGAGTTCCAAGTCCTCATGGCTCTTGGGGCAAATGACAAACCTTTTGCTACATCGTGCTTTAATATGATCATCACTGCCAAACAAGTGAGTTTTCTAGACCCACAGTTTTATACAATACTTGCTTTGATTGGGAATTTCCAAGTATACTCCCAAGGACTACTTGCGCAGACAGACCATCTTTTTAAAAAATAAAAAAGTCTCAAACTTTTGGGGGCTTACTCAGGCTGGATGGTCAGTTGCAGGAGGCTGATAGAGAAAAAGAATAGGCAAGATAAATGACAGAAGTTCAGAAAGATGGCAGCAAGTGCAACCTTCACTTTTGCTATGGACAGGTATAAATTTGGCTCTGGATTCTTCTCCAGGTCAGGAGCTGTTCAAGTTTTAAAATCTCCTATGCAAGATCATTCCTCATAGAAAAGGAACAAAACTCTGGCCCTGCAATTCCTTCATGTTAGCTTCTTTCCAAATTTACTGCACAAGACTCAATAATACAGATCAGGCCCACACATCTATCAATCGTGGGGCATGGGACACAATCAAATTTATATAAAAGGATGTCACATAGAGGAGGGAGAAAGGTTGTTTTCTGCTGCTCCAGAGAAGCGGACACGGAGCAATGGATCCAAACTACAAGAAAGAAGATTCCACCTAAACATTAGGAAGAACTTCCTGACAGTAAGAGCTGTTCGACAGTGGAATTTGCTGCCAAGGAGTGTGGTGGAGTCTCCTTCTTTGGAGGTCTTTAAGCAGAGGCTTGACAACCATATGTCAGGAGTGCTCTGATGGTGTTTCCTGCTTGGCAGGGGGTTGGACTCGATGGCCCTTGTGGTCTCTTCCAACTCTATGATTCTATGATTCTATGAAATTCCAAATAAAAATACTGCAAATAAAGGAAGTGGACTTTTGGCATTGGACAAGATATTGCCGTAGTTTTCCATGTAACTCTCAACAACTATGTCAGACGTGAGTATTCCCAACACAGATGATCAAGATGCATGTACGCATGTGGGAAAAAGGTTTGCAGGATCAGACACATAAAGTTGGCAAATATCCATAAAACTGACCTATGCACATGTCAGATGCACAGCTAGCTTCTCTTAGTTTCCCTTCACACCTCAGTAGAATGCAGAAAAGCAAAGAGGAAGCAGTGCCATAGGCCTATCCAAATATAGCAATTTGTTTTTCAGCACCATGCAACCCAAGCAGTACATAGTCAAAACAATCAAACAAACAAAAAATCAAATAAAACCAAAGAACATAAGCAAGAACACGTGATGGGAAGAGAGAACAAAAATTAGAGGGCTAAATCCACTAAAATAAATGGATCGAGTTAATAGTGACCCAGATCTCACTCAGTAGCACCTTAGAGACCAACTAAGTTTGTTATTGGTATGAGCTTTCGCGTGCATGCACACTTCTTCAGATACCTGGTACTTCAGGTATCTGAAGAAGTGTGCATGCACATGAAAATTCATACCAGTAACGAACTCAGTTGGTCTCTAAGGTGCTACTGAATGGAATTTTTTTATTTTGTTTCAACTACGGCAGACCAACACGGCTGCCTACCTGTAACCAGATCTCACTGACTGCAATAGTAACCAAGTCGTGACTAACTTGACCCATTCATTTCAGTGAAACCCAAGTTCAATTCACTTTGCCTGCAATCCGAACCACACAATTGAGTAAGCTCAATTGAATTCAATAGGACTTAGTTGGATAGGATTGCACTGTTAGTCAGACTCCAATGCAAAATCTTTAAGCCACTGTCTAAACTACCGTAGATAACAAAAATTATTAGATGTGGGCAAGGGGTGGGGAGCGGAAGATTTCATCAGGAGACTAGCAATATCTGCAATGAAAACAATTTTTTAAAAAAATAGATGGAAAGAGATTAGAACATTCTCCTGGTTAACATTCTTGGCCTTTCTAGAGCTTGTTACAAAGTCTTCTCCGCAATGGACTCTTGACAGCTTACCTGAGGGCAGCAGCATGATAGGTGTCAACATAGTCCGAAATGAAAAGCTCTCTGTTCTTGATCACTGGGTCGGTAATAACCAGCTCACGCCCAGAATCTGTGGAAAGAAAAGCACACAAGTTCAACTGTGATGCCTCAAAAATATCGACATCAGCCACTCACTCCCAGGTGCAAAGGCTACCAAAGCAGAAGTTTAGAGACACAGAAAGATATAGAGATGTAAAGCACACATTTTGAGGGGGCGGGGGCGGGCATAGCTCAGTAGTCAAGAATTTCCCCACCATCCCCCACCTGCAAACGAATCCCCCCATAAAGAGGTTGCTCACCCTTTTAGGCCCATAGGCACAACTGGATTTCTGAGCAAGTGCTATGGACACTGATGGTTACTCCCCTCCACCCACAAGACACCGGGGTGGGGGGAACCACATGCATGCATATTTCACTCTTCCAAGGAATCTGGTGGGGAAATCAGATCCAACAGAATTAGTCTGAGCCTTGAAAAGCACATAGAGCTGAAAGAGGAAGTAGGAACGAGTGTCATTCTGACAACTTCCTCCTTCATCTCCATTGACTTAACTGATAAGAAAATAGCCACCCTCACCTCCTGGTGACCAAGGTCTGAGAGAGAGAGAGAGAGAGAGAGAGAGAGAGAGGGGGGGACCTTAGAGATTTTGTGGAAACCAGAAGACAACCTCAAGGGTGCTATTGCCCCATAGGGCACCACACTGGCAACTCCTTTTCTTCTGAAAGTACACATTTCTAGCCCTCATGTGGTGAGAAAGAGCATGAAGGGAATAGGGCAGCAGGGTAGAGGGAGAGTTTTTGGAGTCAATAAGGACATCTGTCTCAATCCAAGGCCTCTCCTCCTGCCTGCCTCCTCATGTCTCAGACAATGGTCCGAAAGCACAATGATTCTCCTAGATTGCTAAAGCTAAGTAGGTCTCAACCTGATCACTGCCCATGTGGAAGACAGTCTGAGAAGCCCAATATAAGCTGGTCTGGGCTTTCCAAAGGAATGGCAGAATGCTGCTATAATGAACAGACAGACAGGGGGGAAAAGCATCACTGGCAGCGAGGGATGCTAACCACGTCTGGAGCTCAGCTTACCATTTTCATTATGTCGGTCCTGAACTAAATGCTGGTACACAGAATCTGGAACTTCAGACTGGCGGTAGTACCATTTGACGTTCATGAGAAGGTGGTCCCGTTTACTCTGAAAAGGAGCAACAAAAAACAAAGTTATGGGCAAGGGCTTTGGGTTAGCCAGCCAACACACTCCCTAAGCAGATGCACAAAGAAGCAGAAACAAGTTGCAAGGAAATGAGGTTGTCTTCCCCATCAGTACAGCAAAATCAGAAGTCAAAAGGTGCTAGAATTGCTGCCTAAACAGCATCTCCCCACTTAAGGGGAAAGAGGCTTCTCAGACAATCAAGACTTCAGAAGACTATTCTCATAAGCAGGGAACATTTGTACACACACCTGACATTACATTAGGGGCTTGTACCAAAAAAGAAGCAGCTTCTTAACCTTGCCTACACAGTTGGCACCTTCACTTAAGCTTCATTTGGTCCAGGAACTCTCACCCTGGGAAATAACCTCCTTGTCATGCAAAGGAAGAATGTGAAAAACATTCCAAATTCAGATATTTCTGCATGAATGTTTTAAAAGCCAGCATCAAAGTATCCATTTCACTTCAGACATTTTCTAGTTCTGTGCAGAGGTGCCTTGTTGCTATCACTGGCTTCAATTATCATCTTGGAGAGTTTTACACTTAAGATTCTTCACTGGACTACTCCCCACCTACAAAACCAAACCAAATCAAGAGTGTCTTGGGGCATCCTGAGATTTAACAAATTAAATCACACCTTTCTATTGCTCTAGAATATGTAAAAGGAAACATAAAGCACTGTAGTGAAGTTAAGTAGGGATGGGGAACCTCCTGCTGCCCTGTGCAATCTCCCCAGATGGACAATAGAGTCTACGCGTAGAAACTGCCCAGTGTCCAAAAGTAACATTCATTTTTGTTGCTCAAGCCTTAATCAGGGATTCCCAAACTGTTGCCCACGGACAATGGTCTGCAACTTGCATTCAGGTAGTCTGTTGCATTTCTCTGGATTTGTGGTTGAAGAAAGCTAATGGCAAATCCATCACTTTAAATATTCATGTAGATTTTTGATTGTATTTTTATTGCTTCCTCTATTTCTTCTATTGTATTTTATTGTATTTCAATTTCAATTTAGTAAAATGCAGCATATAAGAAATAAGAATCAAACAGCCTCTAACACAGCATGTTACAATTAGTATAACAGATAGAAAGATAATTAAGTAGTTCGCCAAGACACTCAGCCAATTTTCAAGTGATCCTTTGGGGGGGGGGGCTGATTTTGAGAACCACTGACTTAGATAAAACTCCATGTGCAATACCACAAAACATCCAGCCAGTGGCAGCATTGTGTCAAGTAAGACTCCTAGAGCATGGCTGAAGCACATGTACTTGGTATCCTGTCCTTTAAAAGCAGTTCAAACTGCTAAAAAAGAAAAGGAAAAAACGTTTGCTGCACAAGCTTGAGAAATAAATCAGCACTTCAAAGGTTTAAGCAAACATGAAGATAACTGCAGTCAAAGCAGAGCGCTTGGGAGGGACTGTAGCTCAGTGGCAGAACACCTGCTCTGCAGGCAGAAGGCTTCAATCCCTCTGTCTAAAAGGATCTCAACTAGCCCTGCTGGGGAAAACCTTTGCCTGATAGGCTGTAGAGCCAGTGTCAATGAAAATAGGCTGGGAGTGGATGGACCAATAATTGCATTAAGTGGGAGGGACTATAGATCAGTGCAGTGGTGGCTTGTGCAGGGTGCAAGACAGGGAGCCCAATGATAGGTGGAGCCAGAGGCAAGGACAGGTGGGGGCAGCTAGTTCTATTTTTTGTCTCCCACCTCCTCCCTACTGGAGGAGGGAAACACCAGAGACTTCGGAGAAGGAAACTGACAGGCAGCCTTGTAAGTAAGAAGACAGGCAGATGAGGGCTGGCTGGAAGCAGACTGAGGCTGGTGAGGCAGCGCCATTTTCACCCCATGGACCAGCCACAGCTGAATCAATGGCTGAGAATGTGCTCTGTATGCTGAAAGTTCCCAAATTCAGGGTTGCCTCCAATCTTAGTCAAACTTGGGAGTTGAAATAAATGGGCATGGCCAACCGAATGCAACCCTGTACAGTGGAACCTCAGTTTTCAAGCGTCTCGGAAGCTGAACGTTTTGGAAGCTAAACGCCGAAAACCCAGTAGTAATCGCTTCCATTTTTGAACGCAACTCAAAAGTCGAATGGCTCCCACTGTGTGGTTTTCTTTTTTCTCAATGGATTTTGCTGACCGCCCATTGCTCCTCGGTTTTCAAACATTTTGGAAGTGGAACTGTCTTCCGGAACAGATTATGTTTGAAAACTGAGGTTCCACTATATTCAGTTGCAAACATGAGTCCCCAGAATGCAACCCTCAGGCCCTTCCTGGAGCCTATGCACAGAGACTCATCTGCAGATCTCAAGGCATAGGCAGGTGTATAGGAGACAAGTAGTTATTTGCAGATATTTGGTGCTCAAGCTGTTAAGCACTTTAAACTTAAGCACCCTGAACACAATCTACAACCAAGGGCAGCCGGCAATACTTTAATAGTATGACCTGGCAATTGCCAACTCATGGGTACTCTTGCCACCAAAGCCACTTGGGCCTCTAGTGACAACCATGATTCAAGGAGAGCCTTTAAACTACATAACAGTGCCTTCAGGGGGAGTGCAACCCTGTCCAGAATAGGCTATTGCACTACATTGGATCTTACAAGAGAGCACAGGACAATGGTTGAGCACCTGGCTTTGTATGCAGAAGGCCCTCAGAATCTCTGAGTACAGTTGGGGGAAGAGGACCCCATCTGAAATTCAGTGTAGACAGTACTGAGCTAGATAGGTACAACACTGGTCAAAAAGACCTTCATGTTGCTGCCACAACACACAGACTCAAGACCCACAAGGCCCATGACACAAAAATTGTGTGTGCTCATTTATATGTATAGATCCAAATTTAGGTTGCTGAAGAAACGAAGATGGCGGGTGCCTGGGACACCATGTTCTGCAACATGGCCAGGAGTTATGTAAACCAGATATGAGGAACTTTTGGCCCTCCAGACGTTGCTGAACAAAAATTCCTAAGAGTTCTATCAAGCATAGCCCACGGCCAGGACTCATGCGAGCTGTAATTCAGCAACATCTGGAGAACCAAAGGTTCCCTACACCAGCTGTAAACAAAGGAAAACATTAAAAGAGGTGGATGGGCAGGTGATTCAGGGCCCAGCATGAAATACCTGGGACCCCACACCCACAAGTTATTCCCTAGCAATATCCCTGGGTTGCAGTTTCAGTATTTGCGAATCTCTACTTACAATGGTTGTATGCAAACATCTGTGAACATGAATACAATAGATTTCAAAACACATGGGCCCTTGCTGGCAATTTTGGGGGAGATGAAAAAGGGAAAGCGCTGTTACCCCTCTACAAGCAAAACCCTTGTTTGATGTAAGGCCCAGTTCTGACTGCTTGCCCACCTGCCTCCTCTCAGTGTGCCCATCTCATTTCCTTACATCATTACCTGAAACAAAAGAGAAGCTGGCAGCCGAATCAAGACAGGAACAGCTGGAGTTCAGGGATCTGGAATATGATTGGAACTACAGCCTGGGGAGAAGGGGAAGGAGGGTGCCCTTTTCTTTCAAGCACGTATAACCCACACAATATTCATTTTGGCTGTGCTTTTATCAAATCAGAAGCCAATGTATTTGGCTTCCCTCTGAGCGCCTGCGGCAGAGCCGGCTGAATCTCTGTGTGCCCTGGACAATACCTACTGATGCTCATCTACCTGCAGGGCTTTATCCCACAGGCTCACTGCTTGCTCTCCTTCTGCTGGGGCTTTTTGTTCATTTGTAGCATCCCAGCCTCTGCATTTAGTGGGCCTGCAACTTGTGCTTCCGCTTTCCGTTTATCTCAGCTCATCCGTATCAAGATGGAAAGATGGGTGACAGAATGTACTCTTGCGGAAAGACACGAACCAACTGCAACCCCCAAAATCTACCACCATCTGTCATTTGAAGACACACACTTTAGCCATGGTGAGCTGAACTAGGACATTTTTAGGGTACCAAATACAGAGAAAGAACAAATGATTACCATAAACAGCTGCAATTTAAATGAGGAACATTGTCTTACTTAGCATCCTCTCTGCTTTCTGGAGATTACAGAAGGCATCACACTCACACACTTTCAAGCATCTCTTTGAAGCCATAAGGTCTAGGAAGGAACTTTTTCTTTTCAAAATGAAAGCCAGGATTTTCAGGAATCTGCATTCTGCATCCCTTAATAATATCCTGTGCCTTTTCCGCACTGCTGTTGAATCACAGCACTCGCGCTGCCTTAAATACTGACTTGTCTCCCCTATTAACTTTTCTTCCTTACTGTGTATTATCAAGGGGAAACACTGCTCTGACAGCTTTAGAAAATGAATAATTTGATGTGATTTTATTAAAAAATAAACATTATTTAGAGGTCACTTTGGGGGACATATAGCCCATTATGGCTTCATCAGGGCTCCTCTCCTTGAAAAACCAACAGGGTAAGTGGAAGAGAGGGACCTCTCAAAGTTATAGGAAGTACTGGACTGAGTTTGCCTGGCTGTGACAACCTGTGCAACAACAAAAAAAACAAGCAAAGTAGTTCCGTTTCCTCCAACATTTCATTCTGCAGGATGTTCGAACCCAGCCTCTCTGCAGAACAAGCACGGAGGGAAAGCGTTTGACCTAACAATCTACCATTTATAGCGGCTTCAAATTTATAGACCCCAAGCCTCCAAAAACAGAGGGGTCAGCGTTTGTTCCACTGTGCTGACTCGCTGCCTTTGGCGCTTTACATCATCCTCTGCGCCAACATGGCAGGAGGTTGTGCTTTTGCGTTTTATTTTATTTTTTTACACCCACACTTAGAAAGGCAGCACATGAAAACCTCCTTTGCTGTTTACAACAGAAGCGCAAAATAACCAGTTACATTTAAATCCCCCGACAGATGATGCAACTGAAAAATGTGCTGACGCGCTAAATTTGCCACAATCTGCTCTCGGCTGATATCAGAGAAGCATTTCTCTTGCAAATCACAGCGCCCCTTTAAGGTATCATGTCCTGGTGATTGCT